GTGCTACTTTATAGGATGCCTAAAGTTAGACTTGTGTTCATGGAAATGTATCTATCAGCTGTGTTTGCTATGAAGATATTTAGATTAATTAAGGTCTTTAGTAATTCAATAAAATGTGGGAGGAAAACAGTATAGAAAGCAAACATAGATACCATAGACAGTGTGGGAGGAGAGTGGGAGATGGCAGAGGGTAAGAGATAGGGAATCAAGGATGGGGAAAAAAAGCAAAACATACAGAAAACAAGAATTGGAAAGTTATTTGCTGACAATAACATGTTTGTTGATGTGCTTGATTGAGACAATATACAGTGTACTCTGGATGGAAAATCTCATTTTGTATGCTGTAATGATGTACAGTGAATGAATGCAAATAAATAAATTTAAATTTAAAAAAATTAAAAAAGGAACACCTGTGAATACACCACACTGGCAAAAATTTTAAATCAAAAAAAAAAAAAAACAGGAAAAAATAATCTCCAAATAACAGTGTCAGTGTTAGAAAAATAGAATTTACTTTATTGCTATAAATGATTGTTATAGTAATTATGATATCGCAATTATAGTAATAAGAGATGAGAACATAGCTCAATTTCCAGTTCCTTCATTCATTCAAAAAGCATTGATTTAACAGTATAACATAGTCGATAGGATTAAATATCATAGGAAAACGTCTTAATCTTCACTCAATAATGTGGTTTTGGTTTTGTTGTTATTGCTGTTTGTTTGTTGGTTTTTTCAGTCTGGTAAAAAGAGATACATTTAGGGATCAGCAAGTGGCATGGTGGTTAAGGCTCTGGACTCCCACATGACTGATGGCAGTTTGAGGCCTGGAACCCGTGGCTTGAAAATCACACTGGGTGTTCGGGCGTGCGTGTGGGGGAAAAAAAGCAAAACATACAGAAAACAAGAATTGGAAAGTTATTTGCTGACAATAACATGTTTGTTGATGTGCTTGATTGAGACAATATACAGTGTACTCTGGATGGAAAATCTCATTTTGTATGCTGTAATGATGTACAGTGAATGAATGCAAATAAATAAATTTAAATTTAAAAAAATTAAAAAAGGAACCCCTTTGAATACACCACACTGGCAAAAATTTTAAATCAAAAAAAAAAAAAAACAGGAAAAAATAATCTCCAAATAACAGTGTCAGTGTTAGAAAAATAGAATTTACTTTATTGCTATAAATGATTGTTATAGTAATTATGATATCGCAATTATAGTAATAAGAGATGAGAACATAGCTCAATTTCCAGTTCCTTCATTCATTCAAAAAGCATTGATTTAACAGTATAACATAGTCGATAGGATTAAATATCATAGGAAAACGTCTTAATCTTCACTCAATAATGTGGTTTTGGTTTTGTTGTTATTGCTGTTTGTTTGTTGGTTTTTTCAGTCTGGTAAAAAGAGATACATTTAGGGATCAGCAAGTGGCATGGTGGTTAAGGCTCTGGACTCCCACATGACTGATGGCAGTTTGAGGCCTGGAACCCGTGGCTTGAAAATCACACTGGGTGTTCGGGCGTGCGTGTGTGCCTAAAAATCCCAGGAGAAAAACAGGAAAAGGGACTGCAGCATGGGCATCCCCCGTGGAGGGTGATTTCTCACCTTCCCTTTTACTGTCTCTCAGTCTCTGTCCTCTCTGGCAAGCTCATGCACCCTATGGCAAAAACTTAAAAAAAAAAAGAGAGATACATTTAAATTATGCACATGTGTGTGCATACACACACACCTGCCTGTGTATTTAAGCATAATATTATATACTTAATGCAATTTAAATCTTAATACAGAAATTACACATACCTAGATGGCTGAAAGAGTTCTGATCTTGTCTTCTCTGTGGCTCAGATGAATGTTTAAATAGACAATTAGAATAGGTTATATTTGTTCCACTCATAACTGAAGGGCAGAGATAAATAAAAATAAACAGAAAAATATATTTTTAATTTGTATAAATTGTGAAGTCAGTAAATAAAATTGGTATGAAATAAAATAGTATTGAGTATAAACTCCACTAGTGTCTAGGATTTAATTACAAATGTGGAACATTTTAAGAATGAGAAAAAATGAATTTCTTTAAAGTTATAAGGTTGGTATGGTGTATCATTTTTGGTGTTTTGAATATTGTCTTTTCACAATCGTAAGTCTATAATTATCACTCATTTAAAAGTAAAACTACAATAGAACCATTGATAATCTTATGACTTCATTACATTCTGCAGAATGAAATTTATTTTACAAGTTGCCATTCTTTTCTTCCACAATTTCACCTGATCTACTCTCTTTTTACTCTTATGTGCTGCTTCCACTCATCCCCATTTTCTCATAATTATTCTTTTTAGCATAAGTACTTCTCTTGCCAACAGAGTTTGCCCAAATTCTTTCTTCTCTGGCATAGTTTACTCCTATACTCACTCACTATAATTTTAGTTTATTTATCCTGTAAATCAAGTTCCACCTCCTTTAATGATAAATGAAGTTCCAGATCCTCTAATAAGAGTTTATCTCTTCTCCCAACTTTCTCATAATTCTTATTTGTCACTATTCTGTTGCCTCCTCTTATTTTGCTTTCATTAGTGTCTCTCACGTTATTATGAATTCCTTAATATGTCTTAATAATTTAGAGCTGTTTATTAGAATTCTCTACCCAGTTTAAAATTGAGTTAAATTTATGTACAAAGGTAATGGTTTGGGTACTAAATAAACAGTAATTTTAAAGTAATTTGGAAAAACTAATTTCTGACTAAAGCGTTTTAGAAAAACTTTTTAAATCTTTATAAAAATTCTTTATGTCTTACCAGGAGATAAGATATGCAAGTTCTTCATAATCAAAAGACGTATCCTATGGTAATTTAATTTGTTTTATTCCAGTTGAATTTTATATTTCTTAAATCCCTATTTTTATACACATAACAATCTTTAGCTATCACAAAAGTATTTAACAATGTCATATCAAATATTTATAATGATGATAATAATAAAATTACTAAAAATCAAATGATGATCATTAGAATAGCTTATTGAAGATTATTCAGACTCACAAAATGTCCCCCCTAGAATGTCTTTCCTTCAATTTTTCCTGTCCCTCTTTCCTGTTTGTCCTCTGTTCCTACATTTCACCTTCCCTGTCACACCCACACTTTATTCCCTTTTTTTCTAAATAATATATAAAACTGAATATTGATAAATCAGTTTGTCTTTGATCACATTACTTTAGTTTCCTTTGACCCAACTTCTCTAAAATCATCTTTAAATATTCTTAAAAAATAGAATGAATATCTGAGAAATTACAAATACCTGGTTTTTAGAAGAAAATGTCTGAACTTTGAAGAGTATGTAAACAGATCCTGGGAAGAAAAAGATCTTAACTCTTATGACGGAAGTTTACATTTAAGAACTCTGATGGTCCTTAGTATGGAGCAACAGCCCAGAAAAGAAGACAGACTGTAACACCTTTGTCTGTCCTATGAGAGACTCTCAGAGCTGAGTATAGAATACAGAAGTGTGCTCTGGATGCAACCACACAGGAAACTCTTTCATGATTGCTCATTTTACTCTGTATCAGCTCTGGGTTAGGCCTTTCATTAGGCTTACCTTATGGTTACATAAGATACCAAGTATATTTGCACTAATGGCCAGTTTTATCCACCCTTGCATTGTAATAGACATCATTGAATGTCTAATGTTAAGAAAGTAGCTTGAAATGCTTTTCATTCCACTTTTTTTAGTTTACAAGTTCTTACTTAGATTTAATCATTGTATATCTTTGTGGGCTGCAATATGGCTTTTCAAAGCATGCATGCACTGTGTGATAATCAAATGAAAGATATTACCATGTTTATCTTCTTCAACAGAGAACATGCATTATGTTGTGCACCATTAATTTTTATTCTAATAGGATTTATTTCCAGAGATATATGTACATAGGAGTAGAAACACTCTTGTTTTATTCTGTTGTGGCATGCCATTCCATAACTTACTTGCTTTCTGTTCATGCATTCTTGTGTCTTATTAATCATTATTTCCTGTTTTAGCAATTGCAAGCAATGCCTCAATAAACATGTATGTGAAAGTGTTTTACTGTGTGTATTCCTATTCTTTGAGTAGACGCCCAGGAATGGAGTTGCTGGATCATATAATAGTTCTATTTGTAGGTCTTCGAGGAACTTGCATGTTGTTTGTCATAGCGGCTGCACTTCTTTACATTCCCACTGACAATGTAGGAAAGTTCCTCTTTCACCACAATCTCGCACTTATCGATCTTTGTTTTATTTTTGTTGTTGTTGTTGTTATTTTTGGGCTTTTTAGTATGAATTTATTTTGGTACAAAAATTTTTTCAAATTCATACATAGTTTTCCCATTACACGTATTTCCATGAGCTTTTCTTTTTTTCTGAAACATTTTTTAAATTAATTAATTTACATTCTAACCATGCTGACTGGAGTAGATGGTATCTCATTGTGATTTTCACTTACATCTTCCTTATGATAAGGGATACTGAGCCTTTTTTCATATGCTTTTTTGACTATTTGTACAACTTTCTTCCTTAGAGAGTTGTTTGTTCAGTTCATTTACCCATCTTTTTTTTTAAATTTCAAATGTTTTTATTCAAAGATTCTCAAAACAAATAAAACAGGAAAAGTTAACAATCTGATTGAATGTATAGTTCAAAATGTCTTTTAGTATTTAACAAGTGGTAGGAAAGAAAATTAATTATCTCAAACCATACAAATACGTTTCCACTGGCAAGTTTGTGGCATTAGTAAAACAAAAATTAAAAATTAACTCTCTTGATCATATAGATATCTCTAGGAAAATCTTTTTTTTCAATCTATACAAAAGGTCTTCCTTCATAAATTTTTTTTTATAATTTAATGGCTATCTGCTATGTGATATTTAACTGATTTTTTAAAAATTTTATGTATGGAGGTTATGTTTCCCAAATCTTACCCAGATGAGTATGGCACTTAGTTCAAACATTTCTAGCAGCAAATTTCCCCTCCCCCTCTAACCAAACTATGAAATTTCTGTCTTAACTGATGCAAATATATCAAGCAGTGAAAGCCCCAGGTTTATGCATGTACTAGATATGCAGAGGGTGATGTGTTTAGTCTGGACATTCACAAAGCAAAAATATTCCAGGGAGCATAGAACCAATACCACTTTTTTTTTTTTTTTGAGAGGGAGCAATTTTTGCTATAGGGCGCATGCATTCACCAGAAAGACAGAGAGAGACAGCGAGAAATCACCCCCCAGGGGGCATGGCCACACCGCAATCCCTTCTCCTCCGTTCTCCTCTCAGGATCTTGGGCACGCACACGCACACACCCAGTGTGAGTTTAAGTCACTGGGTCTGGGACTCAAACCACAGTTAACTATATGGGAGTCCAGTGACATAGCCAATACTCCAACTGCTAGTCCCAATACCACAACTTTATAAAAAGAAAACAAAAACTAAAGCAAAAATACATTTCTCTTATCACTATGTAATTTTCATGAGAATCTACACTTCACATTCCAACAAGGACTTTTGAAATTATAAAATGTTACTGACATCTATAATTAAATACAAGCATACAACTGAAGAACTAAAAAATGCTCAAAAGAAATAAGTGCTTAGCCCTATCTCCTGAGCTAGAAGGATTTGGTCTATAGAGACAGGGAGAGCCAACTACCTGTCTGAGCACAAAATAAAATAGACTCTGAGGTAGATAATTGATCATATCCAGCTGACCAGACCACTACACAGATCTGGAAGACAGCCAAACTTATCATTGCTTTTAAAATATATGCAATTGCCTTAATTAAAGAGCTTTAATAACAGTGAATTATCTTCTATGTGCTCAAGTAGAAATAACTGTGTATTTATGAATCAGAAATGTTATAGTTTCAAAATTGGTTTTCTTTACTCTTGATCACTTGAAGAGATGATGAAAAGGGTGACACCGCTTCACTGCTTGGATCCAAATCTTCCCTCATGCTTTTTTTTTTTTTCTTTTTTGTAGAGGATTTTTTCCTATAGGGCACGTGCACTTGCCAGAAAGACAGAGAGAGACAGAGAGATAGAAAGCGAGAAATCACACCCCAAGGGGGATGGCCATGCCGCAATCCCTTCTCCTCCATTCTCCTCTCAGGATCTTGGGGACACATGCACACATGCCTGGCGTGAGTTTAAGCCGCTGGGTCCAGGACTTGAACCGCAGTCGACTACATGGGAGTCCAGTGACCCAGCCATTACGCTAACTGCTGATCCCTCCCTCATGCTTGTTTCTTTGTGTGTGTGAGTACACACATGAATGAAAATTATGAAACTTAAATGCAAAGGTACAAAAAAAAAAAAAAAAAAAAGGCGCATTCTCCAAACCACAAACCAGTCTGACAAAAATAAAGAGCACAGAAGATATGATGCTGGGACAAGTCGTTTACTGGTTACTGGCTCTTCAGGCTCTGGTGAAGTTACCTTTGAAAGTGCCAAATCATTTTTTATTTTTCAATTTACCTAATAGAGAGCAAGAGAGAGAGAGAGAGAGAGCTAGTAGCCAATCATTTTGCTTCTGTTCATACCTCAATTTATGTCTGAAAATAAATCTTTACTTTTAGCTTTTGCCATTTAATTGCATTAACAACTTTGTTTTCTGTTTGCCAGATCTCAGGCATAGTTTTCATTCTAAAGCACTATTATTAGTATAAAGTACAAAACAATTGTTGACTCCCCATCTTTTACCTGGTTTATGGCAGCATTACTCACAACTGCTAAGACATAGAACGAACCCAAATGTCCACGAACAGATGAATGGATTGAAAAAGTGTGACACATATGCATTATTGAATACTACTCAGCCATAAAAAAAAAAAAAATGAGACCCTGGCAGTTAATAGAATGTGGATGAATATAGAA